AAGGTTAGGTGTCATCATGACTATGTTGTCTATTCCTAAATGTATGTTTGTTAGTTTATTTCCTTTTTTTAAAAGAAATTTATCAAGAGTCACACAGGAGGAAATGTAGGCAGATTGCATAGCCACAGGGGGTAATTAATCCAAATGCCTCGCCTAAGAAAATTTTGAAAAGTACAATCATTATCATAATTTATACCATGAGTGTAAAGGTTCATTTTTTTGGATTAAAAAACCCAATTCATGCAAGCTAGGACATGTACATTGTATACAGAAAATATAAGGGCTTTCTTTCCCCAGGGACGGCAAACTGTCTGTAAAAATGAGGTGTCCTTGGTTATTATATAAGCAGGTGTCCGTAAGGCAGGGTTTGACAGTCTGTAACTGTCTGCATTGGTTAAAATTTGCCTTTTACGTTATCACCAACCCCTTTTCAAGGCTGCAAATAATTTTTTTTTGTAAGCAGGTCATTTGTCAGGTCAGAGACCAGACCTGATCTGACAAGGAAACAGTCTGGTCGGACAAAAAAAAATTCCAAGTGAAAGAGCAAAATTAAGAATTCAAGAAAACAACCTATTTCACTGCTTTAATTGCACAATATTAATCACAGACAGGAGCTTTAACAGTTGTAGATCAGTTCACTGATCATTCTTCACTGACTTCGCACTTAAAAAGACTCTCCTCAGAAGATTATTCTGATGAACGTTCATCAGAAGAATCTTCGTTGAGATGAAGGCGTTTTGTCGGAACCCTTTTTTTGTAGGCTTTCCTTCTTTTTCTTGGCCGTCTTCTTTTCGCCCTGTCCCACTGCTTTGTTTTTCCTTGCCGAAACCTTGGTCAAGATGTTTCTTCAGAGAACTGTAACAGCAAAAAATCCATTTTTGCTGTCGAACTCGAACTGAAACTCAAACAACCAAGTAATAAGATCAAGCAAACAATCGACTCATACGCGACCACCGACACAATTTTCTCTCACACTCTCTGTTTTCCTGCGCAAATGGAACAAATAGCTAGGCAGGGAAAAAACCTAGTCAGACGTTTAGATCATGCAGATTTGTCACTGTTTACAACTGAAACTGCAAACTTGGAGCAGAAGTGAACGGTGATGCAATCGTGCCTACGAAGAGTGACTTCTTGTCATTCGTGTTTTGACAAAAATGATTGCCTGTTTAGTTGGAAGCAAAATTATTTCAAAGCCTCCTGAGTGCACTGAACTACTGTTTAGGTTAAAATATACTTTGGAATCTTTTATAATCTTTTTGTCTTGGAAATCTGCAACATTGGGCCTCTTTATATACACATTATGTAAACGGAACTGATTCGTGAATGCAATAAATTCTGAAAAAAACTTGCTGATTATTGCTCTGAATGGGTCTTTTTAGTCAAAGGAACAAAATAAAATAAAATGAATAAGAATATTAAACCTGAGTCAGGTTTCGTTTAATGAAGTTCATAAATTTGGAGTCCTGATGGTTTTTCAGAAATGTGACTTCACAGAAACCGGAGCGCCCGAACCGGCATGTCTGCAATTCGTCGCCGAGAACGTTAAGCCGAATTCTTTACCAGTATAATTAAACAAAAATTTAATTCTGATTTACTTTTCGAAAGCAGATTATTATTTTTTGATTGTCAATGGGTGTGTTTAGCCAAATAGCGGAACAATGTTTTGCCACAAGCGTCATGAAAGTATGATAATTAAAAGTTTAATTTGGATCAAAAGTGCCCGGTCAGAGTGACTGACCAGACTAATATTTCGCCGGTCAAAAGGTCAAATTTATCGGACAATTGTCCGATGACCGACTGTTATTTGCAGCCTTGCCTTTTTCTATATTATCATCCTTAAATACTTACATACATCCTTCTCCATAATATTATCAATCCATACTTTAAACTAGAAAATGTACCCAACACAAACACCAAAACTATAATTATATGGCAAATTGCAACAGACATCAGCAACTTTTGAAACCATAACTAGTACATTTTATTGCGGGCGACAAGAGGAGCCGCAATCCTAATCTCCAGGTTGTTATTACGCATGCGTGGCATGTATGTAGCCAGTATTCGTTTGGACTTCCACTAATAGTGTATGGAATGCACAGAACACTCCTTGATCATGCACGTTTGGACCTTCTCTCACTTGTAATCTGATCACACGTGTTTTGACCATCTGTAACATGAAACTTATGCAAAGCACAGCGATGGTGCAAAAGCATTTTTACCAGGAGTTTTGACCTTTGATCGTTGTCGCCTGCACTCTGTAACCTTTGGTTATTACTAGTTAACTAATTACTGTAACTTTTAACTGGTTTATATTTAGGTAAACATTTCTCTACCAGCTGCTATTCCCGACACAATTTACTAATTTCTTAAGAACAAAAGTAATAACTGCAGCTATTAAAATTATATTTTTTTATAATTATTTGTTCATGTAGAAAATGCCTCTGATGTTGAATTATCTGATCTCATATCTGAAATGGAAACAATGAAAGAAATAGGAACTCACAAAAACATTGTGAACTTTCTTGGGGCCTGTACAATACAAGGTGAGGATCACAACAAAAGATAAAGCTGTCATTCATTCTTATTTATTTGCCAGGCTAAAAGTCACTATCTCAATTCAATCATTGCAAATATGGCATCTACAGTATTGCCTTCCCAGCTCTAGCAGTTTGCAGGAACCATTAGTTTTAACTAGGTTCATTTTAAAATGGCCTTACCCCTCACAAGTCTCTTGCAGCTCAGTGGTAGAGTACCTGGACTATTAACTACAAGTTCTTAACTTTGACTTACTGTTAAAGTTAGGAGAACTCAAACATTTTTTTTCAGAGTCTGTCAATATCAACCCAGCCATTTCTCAAGTTTTTATATGTTGACCTAAGTTTTTCTTTGTTAGTTTTGTATGTATATATTTGCACAGCCTACATCTTGATCATCCACATGTGGTGTAGTTCCCCACAGTACTCTTACCCAACCCCTTGAAAGGTCGATTAAAATTCTAAGAGGAAGGGAGTTTTTAGAAGTCCAAATAAATAAATTTAAGAGGTAAGTATGAACCAAACCTGAAATTTAGAGAGGGAGGGGGACTCAAACTAAAAAAAAGAAAAATGGGGCAATGAATTGGATATTCTATATAGAATGGTTTTCGTTTGAGTGTCGTAAAACCAAAACCAAAGTAATTACTCTGGCCAATCACATAGGACACAGACAATACATTGAACCAATCAAAACTCGAAGTAATTACATGTGGCTGACGCAAAGCGCGGGAAAATGCATGCGAGCGCGTCACAATTGGCTTTGGTTTTACTTCTGATTGGATGAAAAGGTGGCGCGAATCTTTTAAGCCAATCGCATCGTGTAGAAAGTGCAAAACCAATTACTTTTCGACACTCAAATGAAAACCGCTCTATGGAAAAACACATCTAAAATAAATGTTATGACTGCCACTAAAGATCTGTGAAATTTGTTTTTTCAGGTCCATTACTTCTCATCGTAGAGTTCTGTCCATATGGGAACTTGAGAGACTTTTTACGCAGTAACAGACCCTCTCTGATAGATGACAAAAAAGCACAGTTATTAACCTTTAGAGATCTTTTATCAATTGCATACCAGATAACTAGAGGGATGAGTTACTTATCTTCTAAAAAGGTAAAATATCATAATACATATATACATCTACTATTCAGTAACACAAATCCAGGGGTATGAAAGACATGTCTGCAGCTACAAGGAAATATGAGTTGCAAAGGTTTTAATTTGCAGTTGCGTCGGTGTAACTAACTTCCAAGCAAATGCTTAGGAAATATTAATAGCACATCTAAAAGAAAAATCTGACAGTTATGAGGAATGTGTCATTCCATAAAATGTCCATAATCACTCCATGGAGGTCATTTTGGTTTTACCCCTCCTTCCTACCCCTCTAAAATGGGTATCAAGGCCGTGCTCTAAGAAAAATTGAAGGGAGCCTGTAATGTACTCCAACTGTGAAATGCAGGTTTCCTGACCATGATTTTCATGAAAAGGCTAAGATTTCCTACAGTCTGTGACAAGAATAGTTGGGACACCTCCACCCAATGCTGTTTTTTCACTTCTGGCCTATCTTCGTACCCTCCCAATGTTGTTTATCATGGTTAACTCACCAAATCTTGCACACCAACATTGGGAGGGCAAGAAGAAAGCAAAGTGTCCCAATATTTCTGACTCAGGCTGCAGTTGCCCAAGAGCAAAAGAGAGGCACCAGGGGCTATTGGGTATTGCTTAGACCTAAGCATACCATGCTCAAGGTGGATCATGATTTTTGCATGTCCTAGAACATTGATGTCAGCACTGAGAACTGGTTATGGGTATACAGTAGTTTCAAAGCTACTGTTAAAGTCCAGTGTACACAGAATGATGCTTACTATCATTTGCTTTGCTTTCTTTATACCTAGTGCATACATAGAGACCTGGCAGCCAGGAATGTTTTAATTGCTGAAGATTTTGTAATAAAAATAGCAGACTTTGGTCTCTCTAGAAACCTTGGAAGTACAGAATACTACAGAAAAACCAGTCACGTAAGTATATACTTGTACTGAAGTCAAAGGAAAGAAAGTCATCTCATAGTTCCTTTTTTAAGGAAGTTTGTTTGTCTTCCTTTTTTTCTGTTGTCACCATTTTTAGCAGCAACATTGATCCTATAGGAAGGACTTTTCTTTACGGGGTTATTGGAGCTGCCCCATGATGTAGATACATTTTCCTGGATACTGTGTGCAACCTGTTTGGCAGCAACAATTTCCTCCTAATGATGGGGAAAAGGCTCTAATACAATGTTGATGGTGCACAAGAGAGGAATATTAGTCAGCTTTATACATGTCACCTATTCGGCACACATCTTGCATCTAAAGATAACCAGAAAATGACACTCATGATCTGATTTTGTCATTAATGATGTACTTTTATACGATTAAAAAACGAGGAAATAATTTCCTCATTTTTTATTAATTGTAGAGTTACTGCCAAGCGATCACTTCCAGGAATTACAGATTAGGACTGTCACTAATTATCATAAGAATGCACTAAGGAACAAGCACGAACACCATTATGAGGGGGGCATTGGGGTATATTAGAAACCACAAAACCGAAGAAAAAATCATCCAAAACCGCAAAACCGCAAAAAAATTCGGCCAAAACCGAAAACCGCATACAAAACCGTCAAAAAACGGATACAATGGTGACAAGTGGGGCATACAGAGCAAACTAAACTAACACTAATTTCACCAAAGTATTTGTAAATGTCATGGACTTTGTCTGAAGCCTTCGTATCTTTTTGTGTCTGCTTAAATCATATGCTTTGTTTCTGCCGCTCTCTTGAGCCCAGACTTTACGGCTCAATTTCCGAAAAGCCTAGTTAACTTAGGAGAATTTGCACGCAAGTCCTCTTTAGAATTGCAATTTTGCAGTTGCAAAAAGCTATAGCTCTGGAAACTTCAATCGAAAATCTCTAATTGAACATCCCCTCCTCGTAAAAAAACGCAACACAATCCACAATTGCTTCTTCCGTTGCTGGCGCGGGGGGCACGTTGGAAGCCATAGCTCGCAAACTGACCAAATGGTCGCCCTGGTCTGCAAGGTCAAAGTCTCGCCGGGCGTCAAGGGAGACGCTTGATCCCCTACCATGGCATTTATTTTGTCACGCATTCCTCTAAATAACTTTGGCATTTCGCGGCTATTCGAGATCAAGTGCTGCTCAAATCGAACAGAAACCGGAACCCAAAATAGGACAAAATAGGAAAAACCAAAAACCACATCGGGTACCAAAACCGAAAAACCGCTAGTATTTTTCACGAAAACCGAAAACCAGATGCTAAAAAACGAAAAATCTGCAAACCGCAATGACCACCAAAACCGAAAAACCGAAGTCTTTTGCAACAAAAACCAAAAAAACGATCTAAAAAAATAGCCAAAACCGCAAAACCGAAAATCCCAATGCCCCCCTCCATTACTTCAGGACGCTTAATTACCAGAATTCAGAACTGATCAGCCAGACAGGTCATTTTGAAATTAAATAAAATAGGCTTCTTTTGACAGTTTTCAATAAAAATCTATCAAAGCTATGCATACCACTTAGAAATAGACTGATTTGGCTGCCCAGTTCTTAGTAGTGGAATTTTATTAATTTTATGAGTTATATGCATTGTAGTTAACTTACAACTGAAATTCTGCTTTCTTTTAGGGCAGACTTCCAGTTAAGTGGCTTGCAATAGAAGCATTGTTTGACCAACAATACACAATAAAGTCAGACGTGTAAGTTTTATAATCACTAAATTTAGTCTACCAAACACATATAATCTATTTCATTTTTTTCCCAACTGTAACGAACATATAAAATACACATAATAATGTTGTTTGCTTTGTATACATCGAACTTCAGGTGGTCATTTGGAATTCTCTTGTGGGAAATCTTTACTCTTGGTGAGTATAGAAATTTAACTCTCAACTAGTTTTTTGAACTAAAATTACTCCTGTCCAATCTTTTCAGTTTTAAGGTTTCTGATAAAACACTGACTTGTCAATACTTATTATAATAATAATATTATTACTTTGGTGAAAAGATTGCCTGGCATCAGTTCGTTAGTTTCCCTTTACATATATACTTTTGAGGTGTACAGTGTAAAACAAATCCAGGGACTCCAAATTGGTTACTTTACCCTAGAAGTATACTTTAAAAGTTGCACTCTCTTGTCTAAACCCATTTAAATTGTTACCTTGTCAAAAAACCCTAGGTGGCAGGTGCTATCTATTATACGTACATAATCTACAGTTTAAGCATCTGACTAGTCAGTTATAAAACTGTAAAGATGTAGGTGGTCCCATGGGAACACTCAGTGCACAAGCACTTTTAATTACAACCAACTATTTAAAATATATGATTGTTGACAAAATGGTGTATTTTCTTGCTTTATTAAACAAGGTGGTACACCATACCCTGGAATTCCTGTTGAAAGGTTGTTCACTCTACTCAAGAATGGATACCGTATGGAATGTCCCATAAACTGCCCTCCAAATATGTGAGCATTATTGGCAAAGGTTTAACGTATTTGCATTTCAAGCTAAGGCCTTAAAAAAAGGCCAATTACCTTAGCAGAGACTCATAATTAAGATTAATTGGTAATACATAGGAACGTAGTTCGCACCTTAAGTTGCAAGTTAGTATTTTAACAAAGGAAGATTTGAACTATTAATATGGTTACAAAGAGGAGGTGTTGTACATTTTTTTTAAAATAAAGTTTCTGCGCCTAGTAATAAGTAGTTAAAATTACTGAGCCTTTCAAAAACATGAGAACTCTGAAGTTCGAAAGGCAACTGACATTTGCATTTTTTATGCTGCCAACAATCATCTTAGCGGATCTCTTAGGCAACAGAACTTTACTTAAACTGGTTCAAACATTCATGGTTTGTGATCTGTGATTGGTGGATCTCCATCCGTTTTGTGTGTTTCTGTGTTTCAAGGTTCATTGCTTGTGATCGTAATTATTATAATTAACATCAGCAAAAAAAGCAATTGTGAAGGCGGCTTTTGAACTTTAGAGTTCACGTATTTTGGAAAAGCATAATTTTGTAAGACATAAATTCAATAGATTTACAGAATGGTAAATAAAATCTCATGGACTGATTATAATTCATTTATTTTTATCTGTTGAATTTCTTTTTCAGCTATGAGACAATGCTCCATTGTTGGAGTGAACACGCCAAAAGTCGGCCATCATTTGCTGAGTTATATGAAAAGCTGGATGGATTCCTCTCAGCAGAAGCAGCTTTGGTAATTTATTTCAACTCATTGGTTAATTTTAATAATAGATTGCACAAGCGAATACAAGATTGCAATACACAGTCATTATGTACTCAGCCAATACGCTTATTCCAATGGATTGTTTAGGGAAGGTGTATTTTTAACTGCAGACTGGTCCCAAAGGTGAAATGATAAAAAAGTGAACAAAATGTAGTTAAAAAAAGTTAAATAAAATATTCAAATTTAACTCGTTTACGGAAGGGAGTGTTTTGGGCCGACTGTAAAAATTGTTACAAGCAATGTTAATTCTTGCCCTATCTGCCTTGGCAGTTGTTTTGAACGCCAGGTCTCATGCCACAGGACAGAATACATGTCACCATGGTAAAGATAAATATTAAACAGGACCAGAAGTGTGCTCCTAGCCCTAACCCTTATCTAAATGTTGTTTTAGATCATGAGGAAACCATTAGTATTAGTTAACTATCAATAAAACGGTGACATGTAATCAATGAGCTGCAGAAAAAATGTGACCTGTAAAAGAAACCTGTCCCATTTGCTGAAGTTGATGAGATATAAAATAGAATTTTTAAAATAAAAATTGGAAGCTGCATTGGCAAATTGCCAAAATTGCCAATCTGCTTTAATAATTAATTTTAATAATTTATTAATTTACTAAATCAAGTTACCGTATTTATTCGATTAACCGCCCTGGGCGCTTATTAAATTTTTGGACCTTGAGAGTGGGCGCTTATTTGAGGTGGGCGCTTGTTCGAGGCTGGGCGCTTGTTCGAGGCTGGGCGCTTATTAAATTTTCACCATTTTCAGCAAGTGAAGTATGTTTATTTTGCAACAAAACAATAAATGCTAATAACAGAACGCGAAGAAGTAACAAAGCAAGTTTTCTGTAAAATACTCTGAACAAACCTCCGTCCTCGGGGAAGTCTCTTATTAGAATTTATTCACTCAAAGGGGTGGGGTGGGGGTGAGCGCTTATTTGAGTTTGATTGGGAGGAGGAGGGGGTGGGTGCTTATTCGAGACTGGGCGCTTATTAACTTTTTTCTGCCTTTAGGATGGGCGCTTATTCGAGGTTGGGCGCTTATTTGAATAAATACGGTATTTCAGTGCAACAAATTACGAAGAAAATAGAACAATGGTCACAAGTTATCTGATCTTTGATTTTAGGGATGTAGTGAAGGACAGGCCTTAAATGAGTCAAGGCCCTGACTTTTAAACTTAACTGCACCTTCAAAATTTCCCCAAGTTTTTGTTTTCCCAAGCAATGTGAGCTGGCAATAGGGTCATTTTCAGCCGGTGAAATTAGCTGGCAGCCCACTCTTAGATATATTTCTGTGATTTGAACACCAGTGATTGTAAGTTACATTTTTAGCAGATACAGCATCTAATTCATAACTTTTTTTTTTCTTAGGAGTATGTTGCAGTATTGGCACAGTCAGTTGATTGCTTGGCAGAAACGGATACAACTGAACCTCAACAAACACCTGACAGATCCTTTCCAAAAACTTCCACTAACAAAATCAATACAGTAGTCTAAACAAAAAATTGCATTACATTCAGCACAATAATTATACATTTTATTCGCTATATGTCTTCTCATATTGGCTAAGAGCTCATCAGTCGACTGTATAGTCTACAATGCACAACCTATAGATTAGTTAGTTTATAGTGACTAATCTTTGTGTTCTGCATGCAATGCAGAATTTCCAAGAGCAATGTCAAACTATGTTTCACGTAATGCTTTGCTTGTCCTTCAGCACTTTCCTTGACCTTCATTACTCCAGGTATCACAAAAACCTCAACCAATTATTGTTTATTATTGTGCAAAAAAAATATAGGAGCTGTGTGCTCCCTTATGTAATCTGCTTCCCCAGAGGGTATGGTTTTTGCACCATTTTGGTCTGAAAATGGATATATAGACTTTGCCCATATTGGTCTGGAATCGGGTATGGTTTTTGAGGTAGTTAAGTGAATGTATGAATGTATTTATCATTTTAATTCCATATGAATAAGCAAGAAAGAGAAATATGCAAATTTGAAATGGATTTTAAGAAATCCCTTTTGTTGGCGCAGGGCTGTCAACCACCCACATCTTCAAAAATTGAGAATTCAGTTTACAGGGAAGGGATAACAGATGATGTCATAATGTACAAAATACATGTATGATGTCATTTGGGCAAAAAAACATACAAAAAAGATGTTGTTGGAATTGTAACATTTGTACCTGATTGGTTTACCTCCCACTAATCACGTCAGTGCTTATATTACAATGGCATACCAGTGTTTCTGAGGAAATGTTTGATGTTAGAAGTTAAATAGCTCAAACAATGCAAAATATTTGAAATTTTATTGACAGAAAGTCATCTTCAAGAAATTGCAAACTTCGGCAATTATCTGGGAGATTTCAGACTCTAATCTGGAGACCAGGCGAAATGGTTCAAAATCGGGAGTCTCCCGGATTATCCGGAAGAGTTGACAGCACTGTTGGTGTTGTAGTCTAATTAATGATGATATGAAAATGGATGTGAAAAATGACATTTGTTGGTCCAAAATAGGATCAGGATTTGTGGAACCAGGTGGTACATCCCCACCAAGAATTCCCAGGAGTATCCCCCTGGGTCTTATAGTAAGTATAACTAACTGTTTCCAAAGAGAGCTAACTCTTTGTTGAATCATACAATGCGAGACAACTGTCACTTTGACATGTTGCTTCAAGCATGAGACCAACTACCGTAAAATTCTGAAAATAAGCCCCAGGGCTTATATTTTTCAAAGGCCCTATTTGGGGGGTTATTTTTGGAGGGGCTTATATTTGGAGGGGCTTATCTACAGAGGGAAATTTGCATTTCAAAACCGATTGGGCTAGCCTTATAGTTGGAAGTAAATTTACCATTTTTGCTTTGTTTTACTTTGTATTTGAAGGCAATTTTTCAAATACAAGCCCTGTAGGGACTTATTTTTGGAGGGATGATTTAACTGAGGGTTTTTTTGCGTTACCGGTTTGGGGGGCTTGTATTTGGACGGGCTTATTTTCAGAATTTTACGGTATTGTGATGGCCAGTAGGTCGACCTATAAGCGCCCCCCTCCCCAGTGTTCTCCTTATCAGGCGGTAACCGGTAAAATTTACCGCCTGAAGCAACACTTCTTACCGCCTGCAACTGCTTAAAGGTTTACCAAAATTACATATTTTTTTTTTAAAAAAATATGCAAGTTGTGATCCGATCCTATCCGATCCTCACAAGAACATGAATGAATATATGGAAAAGTATAGCTACCTAAGTACAAAACGTACAGTTCAAAAATAATACACGTGCAGGAACTTCTTTTTGCGTCCGCAAGCTGGCAACTTCGTGTGGCTTTTTGCAGGGCGCTTGCGCTTGAATCCAGCAAGACGCAAGAACTTCTTTTGCGGTTATAAATTTAACCACAAGAATTTCTTAAA